GTATGTGCTCAAGAAGAGAAGAGAGAGGAACTGGAAGGGAGGGAGGGAGGGACTGAAATAAGCAGCGTGGAGGCACCAGATTTGGAGTTAAGTCCCACTTTTATGCTCCTTGTTTACACAAATGGGTGGTTTGCCCCAGAAAATTAGGATCAAAATTAGGCTCTCAAATTGTTTTTCCAAGAAACTTTGGATTCTCATATCGCAATTTTGTGTGAGGTGTGTCTCATCAAGTTGAATTTCCTACGTGTGTGACAGACGAAGATCAACTCTTCTAAAACATTTTAAAAGGAATTTTTATGCTGCTCTTTAAACATTGTTTCTAATCAGATGACCATGAACACAAGACAGCACCACCATAAACCTTGCACTGAAATTTATACAGATTTATATTCATGCTGAGTTAATTGAAGTCTGGTCCTCCAGGACTATATGAATGCAGACTCACTTACTGTAAGACATTCCCTCTTAATTTGTCCTTAGGACCCAAACATGAACCATATCAATGTTTGTTGGTAATTAGGAAAACCAACAATAATCAAGAAAAGGTCTCTCAGTTCTTTGTCTCCACTTCCTCTAAGCAGCACCAGGCAAACCTCCCTCAGTTGGTGATACTGATGGAGACCCTGCCTCTTCTCCCCTCTTACCTCCTCAGGATCCTCCCACATGCAAAGCAGCCTCTAGTCTCAGGCTGAAAGCCCAGCCCTGGCTGAGGAACCCCATCTCCTCCTCCCAGGAGCCTCCATCAGACCATGGCTGTCCTGGGGCTGCTCCTCTGCTTGCTGACTGCTCCATGCTGTGAGTGTCTCTGGGATTTTAGTTCACAAGCTTTGACCAGTTTTATGCAATGTATGTGACTGACTTTGATACTCTCTGTTCCTAGGTGTGTGGGCCCAGGTGCAGCTGAAGGAGTCAGGACCTGGCCTGGTGAAGCTTACAGAGACCCTGTCCCTCACCTGCACTGTGTCTGGATTATCTTTAACCAGCAATGCTGTGAACTGGATCCGCCAGCCACCAGGAAAGGGTCTGGAATGGATCGGTGTAATGAGGAGCAGTGGAAGCACATATTATAATTCAGCTCTCAAATCCCGAGTCAGTATCACCAGGGACACCTCCAAGAGCCAAGTTTTCCTGAAACTGAACGATCTGCAGCCTGAGGACACAGCCGTGTATTTCTGTACCAGAGACACAGTGAAGGATCATCAGTGTGAGCCCAGACACAAACCTCCCAGACCAAAGTGCCCGTGTCCAGTAGGGGGCAGTGAAGTTCTGCAGGGCAGCTCAGTACTACCTATGGGTCCTGGGGACCAGTAGGAATCCCTCAGAACACAGTGGGTGCTCAGTCTACCCTGAGTGCTTCCAAGCCCACAGATGGTCTCTGAGCTGGTTAAATGTTACCATCTTCAGTTTCCTGTCCCTGCTCAGAATTTCTCTAGAGACATTTCCTTGAATCCTATTTTTTGAAAATTGCTCTCTGATTCAGCCAAACAACGAGATTTCTCCATGGAGCATTTCTGATGCTTGTTTGCCCCTTGGTTCTTGTCAGATGGATGGAGATGAACTTAAGAAAAGGCTTCCCGTCCTTTTTCAACAAGTGACTGTAATTCTACGAGTTGGTGATGTTGAGTTCAGTAAAGACGCCGGGAAACTCAGATCATCTCCAGTTCATTCTGTTTACTTTTGTGTGTGAAGGAGAAGACACAGCTTCTATGAATTAGTGTCCATCCCACACATAGGTTGGAACCTGAAATACGCACGGTTTCAGTCTTCTAGTTTGAGTGTCCGAAGAAAATACAGTTGATACTTATTTCATAGGTTCCATATTATAAAATCTGCATCTTGATAACAATTGGGTTTTACTACAAAGGCCCAAGAAAGGATTCATTCACAGCTGATCATGTCCACTTTCAGCCAGGGTGAGAGTGAGTCACCTGTGTCCATGAGGAGGGTATTGTAATAACAGGACATAGATAGAGCCTTGTTTTCTGGGTCTCGTTATGTCTGGGCCAGGTGCAGCTGCAGGAGTCAGGATTTGCCGTCGTAAAGATATCACAGTCACCGTTCCTGTTCTGCACCATCACAGATTCACTATCATCACAGATTCTCTATCAACTCTAGTTTCTACTGGACCTCGATACGACGGCCTCTAGAGAAGAGGCTGAGTGAATGAACAAATAAGTAGTAGTGGAAACACTGGAGACAGCCCATCCCTCAAGAACCACATCTCCATCTCCAGAGACACTTCCAAGACCCAGTCCTCGCTGAAGCTCACCTGTGACCACTGAGGACAAGGTTCTGTGCCTGTGTCACAGCCAGAGGAATTCAGAGTGATTCCTCATAGAACCTCCCTGCATGGAAGCTCAGAACATTCAGGATGCACTCAGCACACACCAAGTGCAAGGACTCAACTTCAGAACAGGAATGCAGGAATGATTTGGGAATTTAGCTGCCCTTGGTTATCATCACACTGAGTACCTCAGATATAGAAAGCTGAGGCTAATTTCTCTCTGGGAATGAAACACTGTCTTCATTGATACCTGCATATATGTTTCTACTCATTTCTCACAAGACAGAGTGCACAGTAATATTTCTTAATGAAAGCTTTGCTTGAAAATAAGTTGATCTTGTTATCATTAGCTGTCACATCTCGGGCATTCATAGAGAAAAATCACTCTCCTCTTCACTGCACGTGTGAGTTCCCACGTGCTCTGCTGCCTTTCACAGAGGACACTGGCACTGTCTGGAGAAAGTTTGTGTAGCATCATTTATGGTTCCTGATATCCTGTTCACAGAAATGGTTGATGGTTTCAAATATCTACCAGTGCACTGAACAAAGCCTTCATCAAGGAATTAACCAGAGACAAATTCAGCATTGAGGAGACTATGGAACTCTGCTATTAGGAGGCTACTTCTCCCAAAGTTAGGATTCTATATGCAAGAAAACACATAGTTTGGTATTAGGATTTTAAATTACCATCCTGAATAAGTATACATTCCTGGATACTGAACACTGATATTAGTACATGAATAACTAAACATGTATGGAAATAATTCACATCTAAAGCAGAAAGAAATTGGTACTTTGTATGGATATACCAGGGAACCCCACTCTTAACTGGGAACTATGCATTGGGACTTCCTTCTATAGAGTTCCATAGAAATGGAACCTGGAATTGCAGAAGGCGGGCACACAGTGATTCAGCCAGGCTATCAAATTAAATTAGAAAAAATACATGATGTAAGTGGTCTGATAGCATTCATTCTCTTGATATTCTTTCTCAAATTATGTTGAAAATGTAGGAAATATTAAATAAACAAAAATAGACCCACATTCATAATAATGTCTAAAAAAATTCCTGCCACCCTCAGAGCATCACAAGCAGCAGGATCCCAGCACACATGGAGGTGGGCAACCATCAGAACCTCAGGGACGGCTGTCTCCCAGAATAGAGGAATGTCTCCACCTCTGCCATTCACATATCACAGAAGGCCTCCAGGGTGGAGGAAGTGGATGGAGATCCAATCAGGTCATTCAGGACCCATCGAATGTCCTCAGTCAGGATGACCATGCATCACACACAAAAGTACAAGGTGGTCATGGGAGGAATGCAGATCCCTACAGGGATGAACAGACAGGAGAACGTCAATGTCACATCCAGAGAGCAACAACACATGGGGATTCTGGAGCAGGTATGATGGAGGACAAGTCATAGAAGCTGAACATGGATGGCGGGACATGGGCTTGAGTGAACGTAAGCTCTGCTAGACGCTGCCCCACTGTTATGAGAGGTTTAAATCCAGCTCTGGCTTTTCATTTCTCTACACTGATGATGCACATTGCCAAGGCTCAGTGTAATGTCTGCACACACTTAACCTTCAGGTGAATTGACAGTCAGGTGAGATAATCCCTTTACTGAAGTCTTGCCCTTCACCTTCTTTTGATACACTACAGCTTCTAATTTACTTTATTATGTAAGGCAGCAAAAACATTGGGCCACAAGCTGGGCTTGATGCCATTAATCCCAGACCTTGAGGCAGAGGCAGGCAGATTTCTGTGAAATAAAACCAGTCGATTCCAGTTCCAGGTCAGCTGTTACTACAAGCACACTCTGTATAAAAAACATAAAACTGAAAAGAAGAGCCTCAGTCTTGACTTTGTATCCGTTTGTTAAAAGATTTTATAAGAGCAGATCCTCCCTGTACATCATGAAGTGAGTCAACACATTGTGGAATCTTGTTTTGTATGTTCTCAAGGAGAGAAGAGAGAGGAACTGGAAGGGAGGGAGGGAGTGAGGAAGGGAGGGAGGGAGAAAAGCAGCAGGAAAGAAAGCAGATTTGGAGTTTGAGTCCCAAGTTTATGCTCTTTGTTTACACAAATGGGTGGTTTGCCCCAGAAAATTAGGATCAAAGTTAGGCAGTCAAATCTTTTCTCTATGAAACTTTAGATTCTTATGATGTAATTTGTGTGAGGTGTGTCCTATCAAGTTGAATTTTCTACATGTGTGACAAGACGAGGATCAACTTTATTGAAACATTTTAAAAGGAATTTTTATGCTGCCCTTTAAACATTGTTTCTGATCACAAGAAACCATGAACACAAGACAGCACCATCATAAACCTTGCACTGAAATTTATACAGATTTAATTCACACAGAATTTATTGTAGTCTGGTCCACCTGGACTACATGAATGCAGACTCACTTACTGTAAGACATTCCCCGTTAATTCACCCCTAGGACCCAAAGCATGAACCATATCAATGTCTGCTTGTAAATAAGAAAAGCAACAGTAATCAAGAAAAGGTCTCTCTGTTCTTTGTCTCCAGTTCCTCTAAGCAGCACCAGGCAAACCTCCCCCAGTTGGTGATACTGATGGAGACCCTGCCTCTTCTCCCCTCTTATCTCCTCAGGATCCTCCCACATGCAAAGCAGCCTTTAGTCTCAGGCTGAAAGCCCAGTCCTGGCTGAGAAACCCCATCTCCTCCTCCCAGGAGCCTCCATCAGACCATGACTGTGCTGGGGCTGCTCCTCTGCCTGCTGGCTGCTCCCTGCTGTGAGTGTATCTGGGATTTTACTTAACAAACTTTGACAGGGTTTATACAATATATGTGATTGACGTTGATATTCTCTGTTCCTAGGTGTGTGGGCCCAGGTGCAGATGAAGGAGTCAGGACCTGGCCTGGTGAGGCCTACAGAGACCCTGTCCCTCACCTGCACTGTGTCTGGATTATCTTTAACCATCAATGGTGTGAACTGGATCCGCCAGCCGCCAGGAAAGGGTCTGGAATGGATCGGTGCAATATGGGCTGGTGGAGGCACAGATTATAATTCAGCTCTCAAATCCCGAGTCAGTATCACCAGGGACACCTCCAAAAGCCAAGTTTTCCTGAAACTGAACACCCTGCAGTCTGAGGACACAGCCATGTATTTCTGTGCCAGAGACACAGTGAGGGGAATGCAGTGTGAGCCCAGACACAAACCTCCCAGCTCAAAGTGCTCAGGACCAGTAGAGGGCACTGAGGAACTTCAGGGCTGCTCAGTACTAACCATGGTTCCTGGGGACCTGGAGGCCTTCCTCAGAATGCACTGGATTCTCAGTGTACCCGGTGTGCTTCCAAACCCACAGTTGGCACCTGTGGCTGGTTAAATGTTAGAATCTATGGATTACATTTTCGGATCAATAAATTCTCTAGAGACCCTTGAAACCTATTCTTTGAAAACGGCAATATGCTTCCATTCTAAACATCGACATTTCTCCATGGAGATCTCAGATATCCATTTGCCCCTTCTTTACTATCAGATGGATGGAGATGAACTTAAGAAAAAGGTCTCCCATATTTTCCAGCAAGTGACTGTAATTCTAAGACTTGGTGATGTTGAGTTCAGTAAAGGAGCTCGGGGAAATCAGATCATCTCCAATTAATTCTGTTTATTTTTGTACATGTGGAGGAGACACAGCTTCTATGAATTAGTATTCCATCACAGATAGGTTGTGTGTCCCAGGCACCTGATTCCTCCGTGGCACAGGGACTGCTGCAGAGAACTAAATTTGGAGAGTTAGCCATGGAGAGATGGGTTTCTGGGCACCATCTTGGGATAGAAGCCAGGAGCCGCCTGAAACTCGCGGCGGCAGGTGTGGACAGAAAGATGGCCCTGGTGTCTCACCCACATGGATGCAAGAAGGGGCATTTACCATACTGCGGCAAGACTGTGGGCCCATGATTCATAGGAAAAAGTTAACAGAGACTGTGGGCAGGCACAGAAGTGATCTTGAATGGCGTGCCAAGCCACGCAGAGCTGGGTGCCAGATGCTTGTTTCTGTTTACGTTCCTCCATTTACTCCATCCCCACCCAAGATACGAAATGAAAAATTCACACAAAGATATGTTATATGGTTTGTCTGATGGTGCAAGAGACCCCAAGAGAACCCCAGTGACAAACTGGCATAGTTAGCCAGATAAACAAACCAGCCTTGTGCATTTGGGTTTGAGTTAGCAGTGCTGTTCCTGCTGACTCTGTGGCAGGCCAGCTGGGCTCTGAATTCCAAATCCAGGAGAAGCTGGAACCCAGGGAAGAAGGCAATCAAACCCCATATGCTTAATGGGGTTAGCAATAGTCACGTGCTTTATACAATGGATTGTAAAGTCTGTCACTGAAAAGAGGCCAGCCTCGCAGAAACATGGGCCAAGGCTATGTTGTAAATGTAGGGGTATGCTGTGGGTATGTGAAGATTTGTTAAAGGTTATCCAGAGGCTAGAAAAGCTTTTACCACTGTGGAGAAATACTGAGACCCAGAGAGGGGGGCATGGCCACTCTGTGTAATAAAAGATGTGCCCCAGGCAGGGGAAGCTGAAAGGCCAGGGCAGTCCTGGTAAATACAGCCACAGAGCCTGAGAGAGAAAAACACAGGACATTTTAACCTGTGTAAGGTCCAAGGACTCAGGAAAAGACAGATAATAGTGAATAAGGAGAAGACCTAAAAATAAAAGCAGCTAAAGCTGCCCCCTCAGATACAGCCATTGACACAAATGGGAATAAATCTAACAGTGCTGTAGCCAGGAAATACTCCACACTGGAACTGCTAAAACCAGAAAAAACTTACAAGAAAGCCATCAAAGAGCCCTAGCCATGTGGCTTGTAAGAGTGTGGGACATGGGAGCAAATGACGTTAGTTTAAGTCTTTCAGAAGCTTTAGAGCTGAGTTATATAACTAGCCATCCTTTCCTGTGATATAGGCTCTTCAATATAGGCCAGTGCAAGGGGGAGCAGTCCTTAATGGGGTGGCTGGTTGAAGGCATTAAAGATACATGGTCATTACCAAGGGAGACTAACATGATTAACAGGGCCTGGAGGACTATAAAGAAAGGGCAGACATTACTGAGAGAACTGGGTATGAGAAAAGCAGTATATGATGTCCAGTTCACTGGGCCAGATAAGAGTGTGTTCACCTGAGATATGAAAGGAAGCTTAATTGAACTGGGACCCCAAGAGTGCTATGGAGCTTTAATGGTTTTGCTAAGCCCTTTAATGGCACAGAATCTTTGTAAAGTGTCAGGCTTTAGCAAATTTAAATGATTCTGACCAGCAGGTAAAAGGTGTCTGTAGAATAACAGAACAAACTATGAGAGATGTAAAAAAGACAAGACAGTAGAAGTGGTCCATTTGGGTTACTCTAAGACAAATGTGGCAAGACTTATGTCGAGTCCAAATTCTCAGAGAAAAGATTGGTAGAAAACCAAATTTGGTACTAAGGAGTTTCTGGAAGGTTAAAACCAGAATAACAGTTTACAAAAGACTTCACAGAATAAAAACTGTCCCAGGGGTGGTTAAGAATCCCCAAGGATTAAATAAGATACATTTTTCTTGTCATAAAGGCTATACTAGGGGTGGAAGCAGTTTTTCCCACTAAGTTCTTCCCCAGCAGCCAGGGGTGGCCAATAGAGAAATGACAGATAGGGCTACAGTCAGGAGGCAGACCCAGGACCTGCCTGACTCAGGGACCCAACAAACGCAGCAGGGACAGGAGAAACCCCCTGCTTCCTTAGCCCAGTGCAGGGTCAGGCACCTGGAGCCAACACCTGTAAGTGTATCAAGAATAAAAGAACACAAAGAGACTCCATGTAAAATTCCCCAAATGGGAAATGACTCCAAAGAGATAAGAAAGGTGGTAAAGAGCTAACCAAATTATTGCCTCTTACCCATGCTAGTGTACCTAACAAGGATCCATGGAGAAAACAGTTAATACAAGTGGACAAAACCTTTCCATGCTGTGTTAGACCTTGTCTATGATGGATTTTATATAATGTTAATCTTCCTTCCAGTGTTTTACAGATGTGAACCCCATTTGAAAGACACCTGAAGAAGCAATGGCCAGCTATAGCTGTAAGATTCTTGGGAGTGTTATGGTTGGGCAAGACAGAGGCAGAGACTCCCAAGCTATACAACTGTTAAGAAAATCTACAGTACCAGGGGTGTGTTGCCCCACTATGAGCTGTTGGTCACAAAGAGATCCTAGAGATCCTCAAATTCACCAAGGCTATTGCCATTGATGTTGGTTGTACACTGGAAATGTCAGTAAAGCCATGTTGCTGAAGACACCACATGTTGTGAGTGTGGGAGACGAAGAAGAGCTGGATCTGAGACTAAGGGAAAAGATTCCATGCAACTGCATGGATGATGTTCATATTGCCAGAAAGGGCTATGCAGATGGTTGGGGAAGAAATGATCCCCTGTGACTCTACTCAACAATGGGTCCCGCATGCTGCACACTATGGACATGCCAAGCAATGCCTGCGAGTGCAATAATGGCTTGACCAACATACATAGAAATGACAAATTTGTAATTGGATAAGGTCCATTCCCAGGGGTGGAACACACAACAAGTGCTGTGGACCAGGCCAATGCCTTGTGCTGATGAAGGTTACAGGCCCTACTGGGGAAAAATATAATGTTTAATGAATATAGTGCTCCTACTGGGATATCTTCTAGGCATTTGTGTTTACATTCATGTTTGTTTAGATGTGTCTACTTCATTCTATTTGTCTTTATACTGAAAGAAAAAACACAGAGGTAGATCAATGGCCACAACTTGAAGACAAAAATAGGAGTGGCCCAAGAAGTCATTATCACGCCATGATACAAGAGAGATTGCACTACATCTGCCACATTCTCCAAGGCTCAGGGACGTTACAGATGATTGGCAGAAAGATTTTAAGAGAGGAGGAAAAGGGTGGAGTGTGTCCCAGGCACCTGATTCCTCTGAGGGACCAGGCCTGCTGTGGAGAATTGACTGCTGAGTGTTAGCAGGGAAGGAGAGGCTTCTGGGTGCCATCTTGGGATGGACGCCCACAGCAGCAGGTGTGGAGAGAAAGGTGGCCCCAGTGTCTCAACCATATGGACACAGAAAGGGGCATTTACCCACCCTGGGTGAGACTTCGGGCCCGAGACCCGTTGGCAAAAGTTAATAGAGTCTATAAGTGGGCCCAGAAGTAATCTTCGAAGGCAAACCGAGCCGTGCAGAGCTGGGTGCCCGGTGCTTGTTTCTGTGTACATTCCTCCATTTGCCCCCTCCCTACCCAAGATATAAAATGAAAAATTCACATAAAGATATGCTAGTCTGATAGCACAAGTGTACCTGAGAGAACTCGGGCACAGGTTGGAAACTGAAATACCCATTGTTTTGATCTTCTAATTTAAGAGTGTCCCAAGAAGATACAATTGGTTCACTTTTCACTGGTTCCATACTGGAATGTTTACATCGCAATTAAAATTAGTTTGAAAGCCAAGATTTTCAGTTTTGCACTTTATGCTGATAATTTTGTTCTTTCCATGGCTTCTCTGCTGCTGCTGACCCTAGGAATTCAAGTATGTATATTATCCATGTGGCTGTGAGATCAGTGTTAATGGATCATCAATGTGAGCCACTCGTCCAAAGGAAAATAGCATCTACCAATCTGAGGCAGAGGCTTCCCTGGAAACTGTCACAGTGACACCATCTCAGCGTGATGAAGCTTTGTAGGTCAAATTGTGAGGAGTCTTGGACTCCTGAGATCTGGCAAAATCAGCATGCTCAGTGAACAGCCGTGAGTCAAGCTCAAAACCAAAAGATTCAATGTCATATTTCCCCGGGTCACATTGAGGACAAGAAAAAAAAGTTACATGAATGAGCAGTTTGGAATGTACATCAGGCTAAACAATTCTGCTAGGATTTCAGGAAGAAGTCTCTAATAATTTTAAGAGTCCAACATATAAAAATAGGATAAGGGTCACACAACAATAAAATCCTACTTTTCCCTAAAGGCAATGGTCTATATGAGATAGTTAAGTGCTTGCAGTGTCTTTGTAGAGTATGGGTGTCCTGGATAATGATGTGACTGCACATTTCTTTGTGTGCCACATTTTCTAAAAATAACACCATTATTTATTTCCTCCTCAGTTTTTATTAGCAAACTCGGTAACTTAGCAGGTCGTCTCAAAGCTAAAGCTTTATACCAGTTACTTCAGGGATGAACTGTTTTATGTCCAAATATTTCCTTTCTTATGTCTATGTGTAAATCAATTCTCACTGCAGTGCTTCTGCATAAAGAAGAGACCCCAAGCCTCCCTGCTTCCCTCAACCTGCATTGCACACCATGCCTGTCAGCCATCCTCCTCAATCTGCTACTTCTGCCTGGACTCAGCCTGACTCAGCCTCCCCTTGCCAAATAGTGCTGTGTCTGCTTGCCAGCATCTCTCGGGCCCCTCCCGTCCAGCCTAAGGTGGTGTTGACCTCCATGCAGTAACTGTCAACTGGAATGAGCATGTTCTGTGCGATTCCACTCACAACCTGGGACAGTAGCTTCATGCCTAGTGTATATTCCAGGCTGATAAATACAAACATAAATTCAGGCACAAGCGATGTACTATGATTTATTCTTAAGAGAAACTATCACAAACACAGTGGCATCAGGTCAAGGCAAGGAATGGGGCGGGCATGTGTATGCTTGTGTGGGAAATCTCACAAGACCTGTTGCATATTGCCTACCGAGTCTGAGGATGGAGCAAACACAATAATTTCACCCCTCCCCCATGGATCTGGAACATCAGAGACCATATCTTACAACCCCAGTCCTTTTGGATTTCCAGACCAGAGAGGGTGCCCCCTCTGCCTGGTGTCTGTTCACGAAAAGGAAATCCCTGCGACTGGTCTGGTAGTATTTATTCTCTTGATATTCTTTCTCGAATTTTGTTGAAAATATAGGAAATATAAAATAGACCCAAATAGACCCACATGCATAATAATATCTAAAAATATTCCTGCCACTCTCAAAGTATCACAGGCAACAGGATCCCAGCACACATGGAGGTGAGCAACCATCAGAATCTCAGGGAAGACTGTCTCCCAGAGTAGAGGACAGTCTCCACCTCTGCCATTCACATATCAAAAATCAGGTACAAATACAGAAGGCCTCCAGGGTGGAGGAAGTTGATGGAGATCCAATCAGGTCATTGAGGACACATCAAATGTCCTCAGTCAGGATGACCATGCGTCACACACAAAACTACAAGGCGGTCATGGAAAGAATGCAGAGCTCTACAGGAAAGAACAGACAGGAGAAGGTCATCATCACATCCACAGAGCAACAACACATGGGGATTCTGGAACACGAATGATGGAGGATGAACCATAGAGACTGAGCATGGATGGAGGGACATGGACTTGAGTGAACGTAAGCTCTGCTAGACGCTGCCCCATAGATATGACAGGTTAAATCCAGGCTCCAGCTTTTCATTTCTCTACACTGATGATGCACATTGCCAAGGCTCAGTGTAATGTCTGCACACACTTCACCTTCAGGAGAACTGACAGTCAGGTGAGATAATCCTTTTACTGAAGTCTTACCCCTCACCTTCTTTGGATACCTGACAGTTTCTGATTTACTTTATTATGTAAGGTAGCAAAAACATTGAGTCACAAGCTGGGCTTGATGCATTAATCCTAGACCTCGAGGCAGAGGCAGGCAGATTTCTGTGAAATAAAGGCCAGTCCATTCCAGTTCCAGGTCAGCTGGTGCTACAAGCACACTCTGTCTAAAAAAATAAAACTGAAAAGAAGAGCCTCAGTCTTGACTTTGTATCAGTTTGTTAGAAGGTTTTATAAGAGCAGATCCTCCCTGTGCATCATGAAGTGAGTCAACACATTGTGGAATCTTGTTTTGTATGTGCTCAAGGAGAGAAGAGATAAGGACTGGAAGGGAGGGAGGGAGGGAGGGAGGAGGAGGGATGAAGGCAGGGACTGAAATAAGCAGCCTGGAGGCACCAGATGTGGAGTTAAGTCCCAAATATATGCTCCTTGTATACAAAAATGGGTGGTTTCCCCAGCAAATTAGGATCAAAATTAGGTTCTCAAATTTTTTTTCAAAAAACTTTGGATTCTCATAACGCAATTTTGTGTGAGCTGTGTCTTATCAAGTTGAATTTCTTACATGTGTGACACACGAATATCAACTCTTCTGAAACGTTTTAAAGGGAATTATTATGCTGCCCTTTAAACATTGTTTCTGATCAGACGACCATGAACACAAGACACCACCACCTTAAACCTTGCACTGAAATTTATACGGATTTATATTCACACTGAGCTCATTGAAGTCTGGTCCTCCAGGACTATGTGAATGCAGACTCACTTACTGTAAGACATTCCCCCTTAATTTGTCCCTAGGACCCAAAACATGAACCAAATCAATGTATGTTGGTAATTAGGAAAACCAACAATAAACAAGAAAAGGTCTCTCAGTTCTTTGTCTCCACTTCCTCTAAGCAGGACCAGGAAAACCTCCCTCAGTTGGTGATACTGATGGAGACCTGCCTCTTCTCCCCTCTTAAATCCTCAGGATCCTCCCACATGCAAAGCAGCCTCCAGTCTCAGGCTGAAAGCCCAGCCCTGGCTGAGGAGCCCCATCTCCTCCTCACAGGAGCCTCCATCAGACCATGGCTGTCCTGGGGCTGCTCCTCTGCCTGCTGGCTGCTCCCTGCTGTGAGTTTATCTGGGATTTTAGTTTACAAACTTTGACAGAGTTTATACAATATATGTGATTGACTTTGATATTCTCTGTTCCTAGGTGTCTGGGCCCAGGTGAGGATGAAGGAGTCAGGACCTGGCCTGGGGAAGCCTACAGAGACCATGTCCCTCACCTGCACTGTGTCTGGATTTTCTTTGAACAGCTATGGTGTGCACTGGATCCGCCAGCCTCCAGGAAAGGGTCTGGAATGGATCGGTGCAATGTGGAGTGGTGGAAGCACAGATTATAATTCAGCTCTCAAATCCCGAGTCAGTATCACCAGGGACACCTCCAAGAGCCAAGTTTTCCTGAAACTGAATGATCTGCAGCTTGAGGACACAGCCATGTATTACTGTGCCAGAGACACAGTGAAGGAACATCAGTGTGAGCCCAGACACAAACCTCCCAGATCAAAGTGCCCGTGTCCAGTAGGGGGCAGTGAAGTTCTGCAGGGCAGCTCAGTACTACCCATGGGTCCTGGGGACCAGTAGGAATCCCTCAGAACACAGTGGGTGCTCAGTCTACCCTGAGTGCTTCCAAGCCCACAGATGGTCTCTGAGCTGGTTAAATATTACAATCTCCAGTTTCCTGTCCCTGCTCAGAATTTCCCTAGAGACACTTCCTTGGATCCTATTTTTTGAAAATTCTCTCTGATTCAGCCAAACAACGACATTTCTCCATGGAGCATCTCTGACGCCTGTTTGCCTTTTGGTTCCTGTCAGATGGATGGAGATGAACTTAAGAAAAGGCTTCCCATCCTTTTTCAACAAGTGACTGTAATTCTACGAGTTGGTGATGTTGAGTTCAGTAAAGACGCCGGGAAACTCAGATCATCTCCAGTTCATTCTGTTTACTTTTGTATGTGAAGGAGAAGACACAGCTTCTATGAATTAGTGTCCATCCCACACATAGGTTGGAACCTGAAATGCGCATGGTTTCAGTCTTCTAGTTTGAATGTCCGAAGAAAATACAGTTGATTCTTATCTCATAGGTTCCATATTATAAAATCTGAATCTTGATAACAATTAGGTTTTACTACAAAGGCCCAAGAAAGGATTCATTCACAGCTGATCATGTCCACTTTCAGCCAGGGTGAGAGTGAGTCACCAGTGTGCATGTGGACGGTATTGTAATAACAGGACATAGATAGAGCCTTCTTTTCTTGGTCTCGTTATGTCTGGGTCAGGTGCAGCTGCAGGAGTCAGGATTTGCCGTCGTGAAGACATCACAGTCACCATTCCTGTCCTGCACCATCACAGATTCTCTATCAACGCTAGTTTCTACTGGACCTCGATACGATGGCCTCAGAGAAGAGGCTGAGTGAATGAACAAATAAGTAGGAGTGGTAACACTGGAGACAGCCCATCCCTCAAGAACCACATCTCCATCTCCAGAGACACTTCCAAACACACCAAGTGCTAGGACTCAACTTCAGAAATGTAATGCAGGAATGATTTGGGAATTTAGCTGCCCTTGGTTATCATCACACTGAGTACCTCAGATATAGAAACTTGAGGATAATTTCTCTCTGGGAATGAAACACTGTCTTCATTGATACCTGCATATATGTTTCTACTCATTTCTCACAAGACAGAGTGCACAGTAGTATTTCTTAATGAAAGGTTTGCTTGAAAATAAGTTAATCTTGTTATCATTAGCCATCACATCTCAGGCATTCAAAGAGAAAAACAATTCTCTTCACTGCACGTGTGAGTTCCCACGTGCTCTGCTGCCTTTCCCAGAGGACGCTGGCACTGTCTGGAGAAAGTTTGTGTAGCATCATTTATGGTTCCTGATCTCCTGTTCACAGAAATGATTGATGGTTTCAAACATCTACCAGTGCACTGAACAATGCATTCATCAAGGAATTAACCAGAGCAAAACTTCAGCATTGAGGAGATGCAGAAACTCTGCTATTAGGAGGCTACTGCTCCCAAAGTTAGGATATTAGATGCAAGAAAATACATACTTTGGTATTGGGATTTTAAGTTACCACCCTGAATAAGTATACATTCCTGGATACTGAACGCTGATATTAGTATGTGAATAACTAAACATGTATGGAATTAATTCACATCTAAGGAAGAAAAAAAATGGTACTGTGTATGGATATACCACGGAACCCCACTCTTAACTGGGACCTATGCATCGGGACTTCCTTCTATAGAGTTCCATGGAAATGGAACCTGGAATTGCAGAAGGCGGCCCACAATGACTCAGCCAGGCTATCAAATTAAAATAGAAAAAATACATGATGTAAGTGGTCTGATAGCATTTATTCTCTTGTTATTCTTTCTCAAATTATGTTGAAAATGTAGGAATTATTAAATAAACAAAAATAGACCCACGTTCATAATAATGTCTAATAATATTCCTGCCACCCTCAGAGCATCACAGGCAGCAGGATCCCAGCACACATGGAGGTGGGCAACCATCAGAACCTCAGGGACTGTTGTCTCCCAGAATAGAGGAATGTCTCCACCTCTGCCATTCACATATCAAAGATCAGGTACAAATACAGAAGGCCTCCAGGGTGGAGGAAGTGGATGGAGATCCAATCAGGTCATTCAGGACCCATCGAATGTCCTCAGTCAGGATGACCATGCGTCACACACAAAACTACAAGGTGGTCATGGGAAGAATGCGGATCCCTACAGGGATGAACAGACAGGAGAACGTCAATGTCAAATGCACAGAGCAACAACACATAGGGATTCTGGAGCAGGTATGATGGAGGACAAGTCATAGAAGCTGAACATGGCTGGAGGGACATGGACTTGAGTGAACGTAAGCTCTGCTAGACGCTGCCCCACTGTTGTGAGAGGTTTAAATCCGGCTCTGGTTTTCATTTCTCTACCCTGATGATGCACATTGCCAAGGCTCAGTGTAATGTCTGCACACACTTCACCTTCAGGAGAACTGACAGTCAGGTGAGATAATCCCTTTACTGAAGTCTTGCCCCTCACTTTCTTTTGATACATTACAGTTTCTGATTTAATTTATTATGTAAGGTAGCAAAAACATTGATTCACAAGCTGGGCTTGATGCCATTAATCCCAGACCTCGAGGCAGAGGCAGGCAGATTTTTGTGAAATTAAGGCAAGTCTGATCCACTTCCAGGTCAGCTGGTGCTACAAGCACACCCTGTCTAAAAAATAAAACTGAAAAAAAGAGACTCAGTCTTGACTTGGTATCAGTTTATTAGAAGGATTTATGAAGAGCGGATGCTCCCTGTACCTCATGAGCTGAGTCAACACATTGACTCAATTGTTTTGGATGTGCTCAAGGAGAGAGGAGATAGAGACTGGAAGGGAGGGAGGGACGGAGTGGGGAGGGAGGAAGGGGATAGGGAGGAAGGAGGGAGGGAGAGAGGGAGAAAAACAGCAGGAAAGAAAGCAAATTTGGAAACTGAGTCCCAAGTTTATGCTCTTTGTTTACACAAATGGGTGGTTTGCCCCAGAAAATTAGGATCAAAGGTAGGCTCTCAAATCTTTTCTCTATGAAACTTTAGATTCTTTTGATGTAATTTGTGTGAGGTGTGTCCTATCAAGTTGAATTTTCTACATGTGTGACAAGATGAGCATCAACTCTATTGAAACATTTTAAAAGGAATTTTTATCCTGCCTTTAAACATTGTTTCTGATCACAAGAAACAATGAACACAAGACAGCACCATCATAAACCTTGCAATGAAATTTATACAGATTTATATTCACACAGAATTTATTGTAGTCTGGTCCACCTGGACTACATGAATGCAGACTCACTTACTGTAAGACATTCCCCGTTAATTTACCCCTAGGATCCAAAGCATGAACCACATCAATGTCTGTTGGTAATTAGGAAAACCAACATTAATCAAGAAAAGGTCTCTCTGTTCTTTGTCTCCACTTCCTCTAAGACGGACCAGGCAAACCTCCCTCAGTTGGTGATACTGATGGAGACCCTGCCTCTTCTCCCCTCTTATCTCCTCAGGATCCTCCCACATGCAAAGCAGCCTCTAGTCTCAGGCTGAAAGCCCAGCCCTGGCTGAGGAACCCCATCTCGTCCTCCCAGGAGCCTCCACCAGACCATGGCCTTGCTGGGGTTGCTCCTCTGCCTGCTGGCTGCTCCCTGCTGTGAGTGTATATTGGATTTTAGTTAACAAACTTTGACAGGGTTTATACAATATATGTGATTGACTTTGATATTCTCTGTTCCTAGGTGTATTGGCCCAGGTGCAGATGAAGGAGTCAGGACCTGGCCTGGTGAGGCCTACAGAGACCCTGTCCCTCACCTGCACTTTGTCTGGGTTATCTTTAACCATCAATGGTGTGAACTGGATCCGCCAGCCGCCAGGAAAGGGTCTGGAATGGATCGGTGCAATATGGGCTGGTGGAGGCACAGATTATAATTCAGCTCTCAAATCCCGAGTCAGTATCACCAGGGACACCTCCAAAAGCCAAGTTTTCCTGAAACTGAGCAAACTGCAGCCTGAGGACGGAGCCATGTATTTCTGTGCCAGAGACACAGTGAAGGGACTGCAGTGTAAGGCCAGACACAAACCTCCCAGCCCAAAATGCTCAGGACCAGTAGGGGGCACTGAGGAACTTCAGGGCTGCTCAGTACTAACCATGGTTCTTGGGGACCGGAGGCCTTCCTCAGAGTGCACTGGATTCTCAGTGTACCCGGTGTGCTTCCAAACCCACGGATGGCACCTGTGGCTGGTTAAATGTTAGAATCTATGGATTACATTTTCGGATCAATAAATTCTCTAGAGACCCTTGAAACCTATTCTTTGAAAACTGCAATATGCTTCCATCCTAAACATCGACATTTCTCCATGGAGATCTCAGATATCCATTTGCCCCTTTACTATCAGATGGATGGAGATGAACTTAAGAAAAAGGTTTCCCATATTTTCCAGCAAGTGACTGTAATTCTAAGACTTGGTGATGTTGAGTTCAGTAAAGGAGCTCAGGGAAATCACATCATCTCCAATTAATTCTGTTTATTTTTGTACATGTGGAGGAGACACAGCTTCTATGAATTAGTATTCCATCACAGATAGGTTTTGTGTCCCAGGCACCTGATTCCTCCGTGGCGTGGGAACTGCTGCAGAGAATTAACTTTGGAGAGTTAGCCATGGAGAGATGGGTTTCTGGGCACCATCTTGGGATGGAAGCCAGGAGCCGCCTGAAACTCACGGCGGCACGTGTGGACAGAAAGATGGCCCTGGTGTCTCACACACATGGATGAAAGAAGGGGCATTTACCATACTGCGGCGAGACTGTGGGCCCATGATTCATAGGAAAAAGTTAACAGAGACTGTGGGCAGGCACAGAAGCAATCTTGAATGGCGACCAAGCCACGCAGAGCTGGGTGCCAGGTGCTTGTATCTGTGTACGTTCCTCCATTTACTCCATCCCTACCCAAGATGCGAAATGAAAAATTCACACAAAGATATGTTATATGGTTTGTCTGATGGTGCAGAGACCCCAAGAGAACTCCAGTGACTAACTGGCATAGTTAGCCAGATAAACAAACCAGCCTTGTGCATTTGGGTTTGAGTTAGCAGTGCTGTTCCTGCTGCCTCTGTGGCAGGCCAGCTGGGCTCTGAATTCCAAATCCAAGAGCAGCTGGAACCCAGGGAAGAAGGCAATCAAACCCCATATGCTTAATGGGTTAGCAATAGTCACGTGCTTTATACAATGGATTGTAAAGTCTGTAACTGAAAAGAGGCCAGCCTCGCAGAAACGTGGGCCACGGCTATGTTGTAAATGTAGGGGTATGCTGGGAGTATGTGAAGATTTGTTAAAGGTTATCCAGAGGCTAGAAAAGCTTTTACCACTGTGGAGAAATACTGAGACCCAGAGAGGGTGGCATGGCCCCTTTGTGTAGTAAAAGATGTGCCCAAGGCAGGGGAAGCTGAAAGGCCAGTGCATTCCTGGCGTATCCAGCCACAGAGCCTGAGAGAGAAAAACACAGGACATTTTAACCTGTGTAAGGTCCAAGGACTCAGGAAAAGACAGATAGTAGTGAATAAGGAGAAGACCTAAAAATAAAAGCAGCTAAAGCTGCCCCCTCAGACACAGCCATTGATACAAATGGGAATAAATCTAACAGTGCTGTAGCCAGGAAATACTCACACTGGAACTGCTAAAACTAGGAAAAACTTACAAGCAAGCCATCTTACAAGCCCTAGCCATGTGGCTTGTAAGAATGTGGGACATGGGAGCAAATGACATCAGTTTAATTCCTTCAGAAGCTTTAGAGCTGAGCTATATAACTAGCCATTCTTTCCTGTGATATAGGTTGTTCAACCTAGGCCAGTGCAAGGGGGAG